GTGTCCTGTTGTTGTTGTTCTACAAATCATCTCATCAATGCCTTGAACTCTGTAACTTTCCCTGGTGGCCAGCTTCAATTAAAGCCTAGGCAAGACATCATGAGGTAACTCCTTTCACAAGGATTTTTCAGATCAGGAAGCACAGCCAGCTAGGGAGGATGCAAACTACTGGAAAATGTTTACTGGAAGTAAACAACAACACCACCACTCTGGGCCACCTTGCAATGATAACACTCTCATAACACCAGAACTCATGCATATTCAATGAAGCTGCATGCTGGATAATTCAGGACAGATAAAAGAAAACACATAATACAGTTATGCAGTATTTCTCTGCCCATTTCCAACTGCTCAAATACAGCCTGCTAAGATAAGAATCACAAAACATCATGTAATGCGTAGCTTAAGCTGTAAGTCTCAAGTGATTTCAAACAACAGAAAAGTGTAACTCATTTTCTCTGGACAGGAACCTAACTGGATTTCTAAACATGTTTTCTCAGTAGTAACTCCCACTTCATTTAACAGAATGTATGAAACCAAACAGTTAGTTTTATGAAACTAGAAGCTTGATCTTTGATTTTGATTTTTTTTAGTATGGACATACGTCTCGACTGCATAGCTCCTTCTCTCTCCTTCCCTAAGACCACCTAAAAGGCACAGTCACATCAGACTGGACTATAACCATTAAAAATAAATTGGTCTTTTTTATTTCAGATGGGACATAAGTGCAACTAAGGCTGCAATTTTAAAAACAAGCAGTAGGATTATCTTCTGATTAAAAATGTTTAGGATTGTACTGCAAATTTCTCTGGATTGGAGCCTAATAGTGCAATCCTGTGGGTGTCTGGCCTTTAGTAAGTAACATTAATTCAACAGGACTTTCTCTAAGACAAGGGTCTATGAGCTTGCAGCTTCAGTTTATATAATTAAGAGCTTTACTCCTTTAGTTTTGTTGATCTCCTCCTCCCCCCTTTTCCCCGCCAAGTTCCCTTAAAAATATGACTAGAAGGCGCAACCATCTCAGTCCGGTCTGAAAACATCCAACAATTTTAAAATAGAAACAGTGAGAGGTCGAAATAAGTCCTAAGTACATGGCATGGTATTCTTTAAATTCCAATGCTTCCTTCCCATTCATAATTGAAAATGATTGCCGCAAACAGAAGAATTCTGTTCATTAGCCATCACAGTCCAGCAGCAAAAAGCATGCATATTAAGTAAAGCATGCAAGTTATACTCTGCGCCAAAATATAATTTAGCAAGTACAAAGCTGCTGTTGCATTTACAACATGTACCTTTGAAATGGCTGCGTCCTTTTAATTTGCAAAAGGCTCCATCAATTCTTTTTCCCTACAATGTATGTTCACCACTCTTCTGTCTGATGATTGTACTTCGCTAAACAACATTCTTTTTATTACTGTGCCAGTGTTTTCTCTTCCTACAGAGAACTTTAAAGGTCAAGAAATGGGAGATCTCAGAGACGGCCTACCAATTTCCCTAACTTAGGATTTAAAGACACAGTGAGCATAAAATAGGTTATTTTCAAAATGAAGTGAAAAAAATACATAATGGGCTTTTTAAGAATAGAAAACCAATTCCAGAAACTGGGCTAAGCAAGGAAAAGAACTACTGTGTACAAAATCAAACAAACTATGAGATAGGGGACAAATTACAAATGTCTTTGTTGAAATCCTTTTTTGTCTGATCACTGAGTTCTTTCGTGCACCCAATTCAGGGCCATTCCACACATTCTACATATGTAAACCACAGTCCGCTGCAAATATCAGGGAGTTCTATCCAATGCAGCTCCCTGTTGAATGCGGGACATGCTGGTTTGCAAACAAAATTATCAAGGGACTGGAGTAACTCCTCTAAGAGACATGGTGACAATGTTAGTTTAAGGAAGAAGGGGAAATGGTAAGTAAGGGAAGATGTGACGGAAATGCTTAAAATTATGCATCACGTGGAGAAACTGGACAGAGAGACATTTTTCTCCCTCTCATAATACTAGAACCCCGATAATTCCCAGTTTAAGGTAGAGCAAGGATCCTTTCCGGGACGCGGGTGGCGCTGTGGGTAAAACCTCAGTGCCTAGGGCTTGCCGATCGCATGGTCGGCGGTTCGAATCCCCGCGGCGGGGTGAGCTCCCGTCTTTCGGTCCCAGCTCCTGCCCACCTAGCAGTTCGAAAGCACCCCTAAGTGCAAGTAGATAAATAGGTACCGCGTTATAGCGGGAAGGTAAACGGCGTTTCCGTGTGCTGCACTGGTGCTGGCTCGCCAGAGCAGCTTCGTCACACTGGCCACGTGACCCGGAAGTGTCTCTGGACAGCGCTGGCCCCCGGCCTCTTAAGTGAGATGGGCGCACAACCCTAGAGTCGGACACGACTGGCCCGTACGGGCAGGGGTACCTTTACCTTTACCTTTAAGGATCCTTTCCAGGTGTGAACAGTGGTGACCCCAGACTTGTTATTCAACTATTCAACTGTCAAGTGTGTTTTATAATTGTTTTGAACGTGAAAATGTGTTAGTATATTCAACTTCTTCTGAAAATCAGGATATGAAAATGTAACTTGCAGAAAAGTGATTTTTATTATTTCTTTAATCTGAGTTACAAAAGAGTGTGCGCGCGTGAGAAATCTCCCAGAAAAAGACCTTACACCCTTCTCTCCAACCACCCACCTACCCAGCGTTATATAAGAGGCTCACCTTCTGACTCCTAACACTTTGTACCTTTTCCAGCAATAGTAAAACTGAGAGCCCATTTTAATGTCTTACATGAGGGAGCAGAAATGAAATGCAGAGAATACGGCTGTCAGCTCTTGTTTTTCATGTCCTGATGCACCTAAGGTGGAACAGGGGAGTCAGGCTGCAAAAAAAACAAAACACTTCCTCCACGATACTGAACCTACTAGTAGTGATGCTGGGGTCAAACAGAACCACTGTTGTAAAGGCAAAGCAAAGCTTTTACTTGGCAGGCTCTGAGTGAGTGGAGTAAAAACTAGAGGGTTGTTCTTAGAAAAGGGAAGAATCACACTGTTCCATGCAGTGGAAAGCTGTACCTTTGGGCTTGTTCTCATAGCTTACTGTGAGTTATAGCCTAGAGACATGCTTTCAGTGCCAGCTTACGGAGAGTGAAAATAAAGGAGGTAGGTGCACTTAAAACATCATGTCAAACTACTATTGGTGCGAACTGTTGCTTAGAACCCAAAACCATGGCATGAACTTCCAACATGTTGACAGGCAAATAATGATTTCTACTCCCATTCTCCAGTCTTTTGACACTCAGCTTCATAACTACATTCTTGCCTCTGTGGTACATGGTTAGGGCTTAGCACACTGACTGTCTTAAAGGAGGTCCCAGGTTCAGTCTCCAGCTTCTCCAAATGGGGCTGGGAGAGTCCCTTGCTAGAAAATCTGAAGAGCAACCGCCAGTCAATGCAGAAAATACTGAACTAGATGGATCTGGGTCTGACTCAGTATAAGGCAATATAAGGGTCTGACTCAGTACAAGGCAGCTTCCTCTGTTCTTCTATGGCTTGTAAATTCAGACTTCATGCCAAAGTCACGTTTCAGTCTGCCATTTTGATTCAAGATGGTGCCTAGCATCCAAACATTGATTAAGATTGTCGCCCCATCCCGGGATCTCTCATGGCAACAATATCTCAAGAGGTGGCTTAACCTATGCCAAGAAATGGGCAAAGTCCCTCCAAACTCACATTTCGGTTTGCCATCTTGAATCAAAATGGTGCCTGATGTTCAAAAGTCTATGAAAATTGCTGCCCCCACTGCAAAAACCCTCCGGCAAAGTTTGGCGATAATAACTCAAGAAGTGTCCAAACGCAGAGAGAACAAACAAATGGACAGGTGTGTATACAATAAGAAACTAATTGAAGCTGTGCTGATGTGAACAGCTAGGGGAGGGAGAGCTCTAAAACTTATCAGAAAAATAACACTTTCATTGTTCTCTAAGACAGTAATGTGAACATACCCCTAGACCTTTGAGGGCAGTGCTGCCTCATCCAAGAAGGATTGCAACCCTCCTTCTGAAGAGACGGGTTTCCCCCATTCACAGCATCAGTCATCTTATCTGGATTAAGTGCCAGAATGTTCCCCCTCACCCAGCCCAAAACTGCCTCAAGGTATTGAGTCAGAAGTTTAACAGTCTCCCTGGGACACTTAGTTGGAAAAGCAGGGTAGGCAACACTTCAATCTAAACCACCAGATAACTTTCCCCAGTGGTTTCATGTACATGTTGAACAGCATGTGACACGGGGGGGGGGGGGCGGGGAAGCACCTGAGGAAGGCTGGCCTTGGTCAATCTGGTACTCTTCAGATGTTTTGGACTACAACATGCTGACTGAGGCTGAAAGGGCTTGTAGTCCAAAACATCTGGAAGGCAGTAGCTGGTGAAGGATGCTGTAGGACAAGGCCAATCACAGCCAGTTTATCACTTCAGCATATAAAGTAAGCAAGGCTGGCCAAAGACAGTTTGCTGCCTCCTAAGAGATCCCACAGATTTGTCATTTACACACACACACACACACAATTATTGCAGGGGTGCCCTGATGGCAAAAGTGGTTTTTTGTGACCCTCTCTAAGGCCATCCCAATTCCCCCCATTTATATTTTTGATTTTTAAAAGTGGAAGCTTCTGATTATCTTCCTCACTGCTGTGCCAGAGGCAAGGCGGGGGGTGGGGGTGGAGAATAAGCCTTGGTCTTGATCATATAATGACATGGCACAGCTAATCATCACATGCAGTGAGTATTTCCCTCAAGCATTCAATAAGGGGTATCACTTCCAGGGGGTCCCACTGTCAACTCTGGCCAAACAGGTATAGAAACAATGCAAAATCTCTTTAACCAGAAGCAAAAGCATTTAGACAAGGAACACTGGAAGCTGCCTTATACCCAGTCAGACCATTGGTCTATATAGTTCAGTATTGTCTATGCAAACTGGCAGCAGATCTCCCAGGCTTCAGACTGGGTGCCCCCTAGCCCTATTTGAAGATACCGGGGATTGAACCTGGGGCTTCTGCATGCAAAATAGATGCTCTACCGCTGAGCTATGGTCCCTCCCCCACACCAGTTCCAGTCTCTGAAACCCCCACCCAAATCATCTCTCTCCAATTATTAAGACTTACAAATATAAATAAATTTCAGATATTTGTTAGGAGCTTGGGGATTTGAAGGATTGCTGCAGAGGTTTCATCCAGTGGTGTCTAAGAGGTAGAGAAGTTTTTGAGTTTCAAAGGGTTACACCCTGTACAGTTTTAATTGGGCCTGTTGGCCCAGTCACAACACTGCCAAGCAAATCTTCTATGCTTCACTTGCCTGCCTACTCAACCCTGCTTGATGGTTTGCTTTAGACAACAGTGCACTTGAAGAGACAAATTGGGGGTGACATGCTCTTAGTTTGGTACCTTATTAGATGTAATCTTCACTTGGATGAGACACTGTTCCAGTTCCAACACTCTTTTCAGTGTTTTGCTGAAGCCCAGACCCCTCCATGGGATATGAGTGCACTCCCTGTGGAGACCCTACTCTAATCTCTCCCATTATGACCTAGGTTGTTTACTGTGAGAGACTGAGTAGAGGAGGCATCTTCCTTGCAAAAAGCCAGAGATCACAAGAGTGGGATCCATGTCAGGGGAGACTTGGATCTGAGAAGTGTCAGACTCTGTTATCTCAGCCTACCTCTGGCTGAGAGGAAAACTTAGAGTGGGGAGATGCATTGTCTGGGGAGTCATTGTTCCCTACACCAAGATCTTGCAGGTCAGAAGATATACATTTACTGCATTCTGAAGGCTCAGAGTGCCCCTCACTGCCCCATGCCATGGGAGACAACACTTGTAGAACTAGGCAATGGCCATTTAAGAAACAGAGATAGTTCCCCTGAGAGGAGCAGGATAAAAGCAGGTCCAGATCAGCCAGCCTTCAAAAGGTGTCAATATGCTGCTAAGAGAACCATTCTTCCTGGATGACTTCCAGCCAACACCTGGCATAGTGATCTGTCCAGGGTGCTGAATAAGACTGAACGGTTGTGATCCTCCTGCCCCATTGGACTTGACTGTGATCTTGGTATAACCTTGCCCTTCCAGGTAAGTGCCTCTGCTCCAGTCTCTCCTGAGAGCCCTGAGCCAAGCTAGGATGACACAGGTGAATCAAATAGATGAGAACAGTGTAGTCATGGAGGCAGCAGTGTCTTTCTGGCAGCTGACTCAGTAGGATAAGAGCAGGAGGTGAAAGACACACCCTCATCCAGAAAAAGTGACAACCCCACTCTTGGGGGAAATTGCCAGCATGCAAATGAGGTTCCTATGCATCAGCTGAGAGATGGGGAGTAGGACAGGAAATGAGTGCAGCTTGAGTCCTCTCAAGGCATTCAGAAAGAATGTGTAAGGGGTGAAATTGGAGGAGGTTGGCATGCACACAGCTCCTCTTCCCAATCCCCACACTGAGCAGGAAGGTCTGAAGGGAGCATCTAAGCATGTACACATGTAGAAGGCTCCCTGCAACTGGGAACTCTGTTATCCAATCAAGCACACTTAGAAACCCTCTTCCAGCCTTCCTGCTTGATCTGGGAGGATCCATTGTGGAGCAGGGCACAACCTGCACAGCTGCTCCCTCCCCAGTTTGGGCCTCACATTTTCTTTCTGACCTCCTAAAAAAAGGCTTCAGAGGGCAGCCAGGCTTGTAATAATAAGATACAGTATTGGAAAAATTTGGAGGGTGCTTATTTGGCAAATAGCACTTGTAAGAAACTAATAAAATACAACTGGCACAAGGTCTGAAGCATAAAGACTGGTACACGTACATGACTAAACATGAAAACAGAGAACTCCTTTCATATTATAAAACATTTTGGTTAGCATAAACGAAACAAGGTCTTTTCTACACATGGTGGTCTTGGCTAGGAACTTTGTTTTCTATTTGATTGTCATTTTGGACGGATTGTTCAAACTTCATTTTCTGGTTCAGGGTGAGATATTAAAGGTTATGTTTGTTTGATGGTTCAATATGCTGCAAGAACTTATTAATGATAGATATAGATATTAACTTATTAACTATTTAATGATAGATAGACAGATATAACAAGAAAGCCCCATGGAAACACACTCATCCTGCATAAGTACTCTCAATTCCTGGTATCTGCTACATGCAAGGTCAGCAGCTGAGGGAGAGAAAATAAGCCAGGTTTTGCTGCTGTCCACTCTAGAGGAATAAGGGGTTTAAAGAGCCCTTTGTCTATGTCTAAAAGGGAGGTGTGAAAAATGAGGGCTTTGTAAAAAACTTTGTTGCTGTTCCCACAGCAAATTAAGGTTTCAAGGCACCCTTTATCTCCATCTCCCTTGTGTATCTCACCTACACAGGAGAAAAGGGAGTGACATAAAGAGGGTCCCTGGCAACTAGCCCAAGGGTGCTGAGCCACCACATGCCCACCCCTACACTCAGATGTCCCAAGCACCCCTTTCCTTAAAAAGGTAAAAATAATAAATAATAAATCACGTTTAGATATTTAAGCCTACAGCTATTTAAAAAAACAACACCTGCATTTACTTGGAGGCAAAGACAGTGCAGCAGGAAGATTCCCGCTTGCAAGTCTCCTTTGAGCATTTGACACAACTCTCCATTTAGCTGGTTAGACAGAACATTTTCTGCAGCTAACCTCACTCATGTTGCCTCTCACTGAGCTGCTCTGTGTTTTTGTGTGAGCAGAGTAGGAGTGAGAAACATTTCTGACAATCGTGCTTTTCATATTGTTGCGGGTGGGAGAACTGAGACTGTAAAAACCACAGGGGTCCCTTCAAGGAACAATGACAAGACTGCAGAGCCCAACACTCTGGTCTTAGGATTCCTCCTACCGAGCAATAGTCATGCATAACAGGAAGGCCATCTTGATGAAAAGGAGAATTGCATTTAAGAAATTTGCAATTATTATTTTTTTAAATAAAATATTTAGCAGGATTTATATATAGCTTATTCATAAAAACCTTTAATGGTTTACATAAAGTGATTTATATTGAGAAGTGGTAGAGTGGTTAGAGTGCTGGGGTAGAACCTTCGAGAGCAGAGTTCAAATCCTTACATAACCATGGGGGTCAGTCACCATCTCTCTGCCTAACCCACTTCACACGGTTGCTGTGGGGATAAAAAGGAGATGAGGAAGAACCATCTATGCCACCTTGAGCTCCTTGGAGAAAAGGTGGGATAGAAATGTAATAATAATAACCTTTGTGATAGGGACAGGGGGGAATTAGGTTCAGCTTGTATTTTAATGTGAACCCTCTCTAACTTGCACTTTCTAAACACATATAATCCTTCAAAATTAACACTGCTCTGAATTTTGTAATATGGTTTTTATTTATTCTTATTTATTAAATTTAGCTACTGCCCTTCGTCCGATGATCGCAGGGTGGTTTACAATATAAAAACACAAAAATAAATTGCAGAGTAACAAACAAAAACAATACTGCCTCAGTTCTCAAACCAAAAAACCATGTGCATATTAATGGGATGTTTACCTAGGAACATATATATCATTGAAAATAACATACAAAAAAAGCAAGAATGGTGGGTTGTGATGGTTCATTCCTGAAGACTCACAGAATTCATTGGATTCCTGAGTGCACTGGGGGAGTTTCTAGTAGCTACAGCATAGTGACCCTCTTGAAGCCCTCGTCATGCTGTGGAACAGTTCGATGTGTTAGGCTATTGACACAACTGCCCCGAGCGCCCTCTCCTGCATTGTGGGGCCTGTTGTGTACTTTGGCTCACCACTGAACTAGGGGCAATGAAAGAGACCAGACAATGGCTAGAGTGCAAGTGATGAAAAAAGCTGACAGAGTATGAGTGAAACATAACTGCGGAGCAGTCAAAGCAGTGAAGAAGGCTCACTTCTCTGCCTCCATTCACATCTTAAAGTAGCCACCGCGTGGAACTTTTTCATATTGTCCAGGGTCTGGTAACATCTACTTCAGGGAAGCGAGTTTTAGGCACAGTGTAAATTGTATGCAAGGCACTTTGAGGGTAAAGTCACTTGCTTTTTTAGAAATATCAATGCCACATCCACACTCACTACATTCAGCGGCGTAGCTAACTGCTCTGGTGCCTGGGGCGGGAGGGGGGTGTCATGCAGCCAGGGGTGGGGCGAGGTGAGCCTCTCTGATGCTTGGAGCCTCTCCGCTGCCTCCCCCTTAGCTGTAGGGAGGCTGAGGGAGAGGCAGCAGGCAGACGCAAGTCCTATGCTGCCGTTTTAGGCAGCGTGGAACCTGCAGGCATCTAAGCCACCACGTCACACCTAAAAAGTTTTGTGAGCCCGTTTTTTGAAAAAACACACACTCATTTTGTCAAACCCCCCTCCTCAGTGATGACACCCGGGGTGGACAGCACCCCCTACACCCCCCCTTCCTCTGCCACAGACTACATTCCCCAGTGAGGCATCCAGTACAACATCTGCTTCAACTTATTGGGATCAGCTTCAGTTGATGTCGCCTGACAATGTGGACAAGGTTCTTGGGACAATGCAGCCAGTGGCCAGCAACATCTCTCTTCAACCCTGCCCCTCTTGGCTTCTTAAATCTTGCCATGGGATTATGAATGTGTGGATACAGGGTGTGGGCAAAACATCCATGTGGAAGGGAGTGGTCCTGGCTGTCCTGAAAGATGCAGTTATCAAACCACTCCTGAAAAAGCCCACCGCGGACCCACTGGCTTGTGACACAATGTGACAACTACTACCCAGTTGCAAATACTCTCTTTTTCGGGTAGGTGATTGAGAGGGTTGTAGTGCAACAATTGCATGGTCTCTTGGTATGAAACCTATTTCATCCAATGGACCAATTTCAATCTATGTTCAGGCCTGGTTATGGGACTGCATTCACCTTGGCCACCCTGATGAATGGAGAAGGACGTGGTGAATGCAACTCTATTATTCTTACTTGATCTCTCAGCAGCTCCCTGGCAATTGTGCTTTGGGTGCCACAGGGTACCATCTTGTTCCCTAATGCTGATTAACATATGTGAAGCTGTTGAAGTCAACGTTGCAAGATTTGGAACGTGGTGTCATCAGTATGCTG